ATTCAACACATGCATACCCAGGGGACTAAAAAGTGTTAAAATTCTCTACATCAGAGTGTACATTAGTTTCCCACGTTAATGATGAGAGCAAAAGCCATCGTCGAAAATTTACTGATGGGAAAATATGTTTATCTATTCCCATGATGCCCTGCCTCCAAGTTTCACGTAATCTCGGCTGTAGAGTTGCCCCATGCGTAATATAATAAAAACTAACTACTAATTATAAGAATAAATTAACATGAAAATCCTAGATTTCCGTTGAATTCTTGGGTGTTGAGAGAGCACCCGATGCATAATCGGAGGGTCCCGGGTTCAAATCCCGGTCTGGACTATCCATTTTTTTCTGTCAAAATTTTCTGGTTATTCATATTGAGAACAATTCCGATTCCCCTCGTACCTCATCCCAATCCCATATATAAATTCCCTTCTTTAATATAAAAACATAAAAATTAATGAACGCAAAAATTCTTATTTAATCGAATTTTCCATTCCATTCTGACTTCATTCAAATTGTATTGTTTGATGTACGTGCGAGAGGGAAAGTCGGAGTATTGAGTCTCTCGTGGTGCATCCGATGGGGACGGTATCCCCTTATCAGTTGAAAAATTTGTGAGCCGTTGAGGGAGCGAAAGCCGAGGGGATGCTTCGACAACCAGAGGGGGCGTGCGATTAGGGTTTCCGTGTGGATATAACAACGAGACACATGCAGGGGCGTACATACTACCAGAGCTCGATAATTTCCCCTAAAAAATTTATTTCCATATGAACTGCAGCTGATTAGTCTTCCTCTAATCCTGCACAGTTGACAGAGATAAGTGAATTCACTCCAGTTTTCATCGCATTGGTGAGTGTCCGGAATGAGGAAGGGAAGGAGGAACTAACAATAGTCTCACCGGATAGCAGGGGAATTCTGAATTTTAAATGAAACTTCTTCGCTCCGCTAGTTTTTCGAATACTAAGCGGCAACAATTTTGCGGTTTACTGGTGCAAATGGAAGGGATGAAAATATTTTGTTCTGGAGGATGTACAGGCGGAATACCGATCTCGACGAGTTCCGTCCGTAAATCGCTGCCTACGGCCGTTATGAGAAATAGTATATTTTTGTCATTCCGGCCGTAAGGCAGCGTTTCACGGACGCTCCGCGTCGCTCTGCCTACGGCCGTCATGACAAAAAATATTGTTCGTCATACGACCAAAAAAAACTTTTCTGACGAATATGATTGCAGCCCTCGCCTTCGGCTCGTGCTTTAAATCTCCTATTCGCCAGAAAAGTTTTTTTTTGGTCTAATGACGAAATGTACTATTCAGGGCGAGTGCCATGGGGTTTTTTACTCGCGTGGAGTTGGCGTGCGAGTCGAAGGAGAGGACTGGCCAACCACGCGAGTAAAAAAACCCTATGGCACTAACCGCGAACGATACCGCGCTCCGCTTCGCTCCGCGTCCGTGAATCTCTGCCTACGGCCGTCATGACAAAATAGTACATTTCGAAATAGGCCGTGAGGAACTTTTCTGGCGAATATGAGGTTACAGGACGAGCCGAAGGCGAGTTCTGTAATCAGATGAGGTAGAAAAGTTCCCACGGCCGTGTGTCGAACAATATTTGTTGTCAGTAGGCCCGAAAACGGTTTATCGTGCCTAGTGGCGAAAAATACTGTTCGCCATACGGCCAAAAAAAACTTTTCTAGCTCATATGATTGCAGCTCTCGCCTTCGGCTCGGACCGTAAACTCATACTCGCCAGAAATTTTTTTTTCGGCCTAGTGACGAAATATACTATTTCAGCTCATATGATTGCAACCCTCGCCTTCGGCTCGAGCTACAACCTCATATTCCCCAGAAAAGATTTTTAGGTCTTGTGTGGAAATGCACTAAAAATTCTCTACGCCGACTTCCACGAAATCGTAGCGTCCGTAAAGTGTTATCTTTCCTGCCGCATATAATTGCAGCAGTGGCTTTCAGCTCATATTCGCGAGACGAGTCTTATTTCCGAAAAGTGACGAAATATACACAAAACGAGGTAATATATATTTTTTTCCACGTAAAACCAAAGGATAAGTAAATTACAGCTAGCGCCACTAATATAACAATGAGCACAAAAGCCAGGGACGTATTTGAAAGTGTATGATAAGACGTTGCGACACATTCGGCGCATGCGTCGCACGAAGTGGTGGAGGCGTGACCAAGAGTATTATCTCGACAAATTGTTTAGCCACTCATCATCGTTTTCTTTTGAAATTTATTTTCCAAAACTCATTGGAACCGGAAAGACCAATTTCTATTCGTCAAGTTATTGTCTGAGTTATTTTATAACCAAGGTTTGTGGGGATATATTGAGCTTTTTAGTACCCCTATGTTATTGACAATCAGATAGAGAGGGCATACCCGTATATAACGTTCATGAGACGCTACTGCGCACTAGTTCGTCGTTTGATTCGCCCCGACCTATCGACAGTCATTGAATGATTTTTTTTCAAAATGCATCTAAATCATAGAAACAAGATCTGCGGTGTCTGGGAGTACACTGAAGTATGTAAAAGGTGAGTATAAAATTTTTTTCATGACAAAAAAAAATGAAAAAAGTGCTTGCACTTGCTATTTTTATTCAAAAATACAAAATGTTACATGATGTTTAATTCAATTATCTTTTTATTGTTGAGGAAAAGGAGTAATTGTTACAACAAATTTTACAGCGATTCAAAGTAACTAATAAAAATGTGGGGGAGTGGAAGCGAAAAAAAATACAGCACCAGGCGATAATTGGGAATTTATACATTGTGATTAATTACAGCATTTGATATATTAATTTTATGTATTTTACATTTTAGGATGAATAAACAGTATCCATAAATGCATGCGTATATAGCTCATTCGTAAACAAACCTGTGAACCTAGGGTACAATTACATTAAAAATGTAATACCATGTAATGAAAAGTACACAACATTAATAACTTTGTGTAATGGAATAAGCAGATGAGTTCACATCCTTCGTCGTGAATTTTTAGTTCAACAGCAAAGAGCAGTGAAAATGATTTGATAATTTTTTTGAATATTTTATCCAAAAACAACTGATTGAATTGAATTTCCATCGCCCCTTCCCCAGCTCTCGTGAAGACAATTACGCGATTTCAATCATGTATAATAACCCCGCTACGTCTCCTTATTCCAATCAATTACAGAAATCAACACTCCCAAAATCAACGGATAAAAATAAAAATTTGCAATGGTATCGTTCAGGATTACTAAGAGAAATATCGACATAATATCTCAAAACTAATTTCTTGCGTCAAATATCTCATCTCTTAAGGATAAAACGCTTGTGATAAGAATTCCGCATGAGTCGGGCCGTGTAAGAATCCAGTGAAATGTTCATGACTTGAACACGAACACTTGGCGATAAAGTGACAATTTCTTGCCTCAAGAAATTGTTTATTTCGTGTCACAAGATGAGAAAATTACTAAAAACACTAAAAGCTTCGATTCAGTGAATCATGGATCAAAGACTTTCATATTGAATAAATACAGAATTTATACAGGGGAGAATCTTCAGATATTTCTAAAATATAACCGTCACTTGCTCTCAATCGCAATGAGTTTGAAAGAAAGCAAGAACATCTTTTCCTTCTCTCAAACTTACTTTGTCTCTTCAGGAATATTATCTGATTTTCAGAGAAAAAAATCATTTATTCATTCTGTATCATCCTCCTTTCGCCCGAAGAGCACCGATTTCATGTCCGAACCCTACCATGAATTCAGTACCGAAGTGGTAAAACGATACAAGTCAATTTCGACTATTGACCAGTTTTCAATGAATATCTCGGAATCTAAGGGAGATATCAAAATTTTTAATATAACCTTTTTTGTGGAGCCGATTGAGAGCTACAACAATTGTATTTACAAAAATTTCGTTATCTCCCTTAGATTCGGAAATATTCCCCAAAAACTCAACTGGGAGATAAGTCGACTGAACCGTTTTACCACTTCGCTACTGAATTGATCGCATATGCATGCGATGTTCTCCACTCAAGAAATTATTTTTCTCATATGTCGATTTCTCTCTCAGTGGACATAGGCCGCGACGACTAACAATCCAGTCATTTCAATAGCGAAGCGGTAAACCGGGCCGAGTGAATTTTGACTTTTGGTCAGTTTTCGCCGAATATCTCGGAACCTAAGAGAGATAGCCAAATTTTCCTTATGACATTTTTTATGCCCCTCAATCGGTCCTACAAAAAAGCTCATCACAAAAATTCTTCTATCTCTTCTAGATTCCGAGATAATCGTCAAAAACTGGCCAATTGTCAGAAACCACTTAACCCGGTTTACCGCTTCGCTGCTGATTTGGTGAAGAAATGGTGTGAATAAAGAGAAATCCAAAATATATAATATATACATATATATAAAGCTTGGGAGATTTACGGGAGATGCGTAGAGTGAGGATACAAAAGTTATTCATGTGCAAAAATTTCTTCACATATCATTTCTTTATTCGACAAAAGAGATTGGCAAAGCCCAGCCACCGGTCGTGAAAAACTCGGGGAGTTTGTCTAGCCAAGCGAGGATCGAGAAGCATTATTATAATTTTTCTCTCCCTTACACATACACCAAAGGGCACTGAAAGTGCCACGAAGACGAGCATTATTCAATTCTCAATTCACAGAAAAAAAAACCCAAAACTATCCGAAACTGAACAAGAAAAATTCAACATTAGAAACGAGTGAAGAACCCTCAGAATGTAACAAAAATAAGAGGCTTATAATTCGCACAACGAAATCCTTAAGAAATAAGTGAATAATTAAACTAAATAGTAAAATCGGGTAGAGAATAGATGCTCGCCTACCTGAGTCCTCTGTCTCTAAATATTTCGTAAAGAAAAAAAAATCATCAAACACCCACGCACTAGATACGACGTAATTTCATAGGTTGAGATTGCAATTGACGGCTCATTTAATGAAACAAGATTAAATATTTAAAATTTAAAATAAATAAGAAGGGAGATGTACCGAGGATGTGCGCTCGGCTGTTGTTACGGCGATGGCCAGGCTCAGGGCACCACTCTTTGCTCCAAACAGTGAACACACACCATTGTTTGTAAAAAAAAGAACAGCCGTCCCTCTCGTCTGTCTCTGTCTCTCACTCTACTGTCACGACCCCACCCATACCGAATCACTTCGTGTATACAGTCCCTATCTGTGTCTCTGTTTCTCCTTCCATTTAAATCCCCCTAACCCTAGCACCTCGACGTTACCTCGTGCGTCACGTTCCCGTTAAATAAATAATTTTAAATATTCTTTTATAACTAGTCTTTGTCCGCCCTTATCCGACAGATTGCACGAGCTTTGCAATTTCTACTCGTTCACTGGACTCCCATGAGACGTAAACAAAGACTCCATGTGATTAGTCAACACCAATAGATAAATTACATTTATTACGACACACGTATTTTACTCTACTTTTTCCTCACATTACTGCATTTTTCAATAACTTTAATCGAGATCGAACGACGAAAGGAAAACAACTTTAAAGAAACGGATGTCTCGTGTTTTTACAGTACCTCACTCTGAACAACTGTTCATTGGCAAATCCGTTTCTCGATTCTGTTTGTCGGGTTCCTGGCGTCTCCTTGAAACCCAACTCTCACACCTTCCCTCTCCCTCACGCACTCCCTCTTATCAATTTTTCACAATTTGCATTGTCGAATTATTTTCATTGATTGGTTTACTCAGTTGGTGAGGCTTAACGTGGGTCAAAATAAAAGAGAAAATTAATGAAAAATGAGGGTTCACTTGGGCATCTTTTGTGACAAAAAAATAAGCGAGAGAAGGAAGGAGAGATGTACCACAGCGCTGCCACTCTAGTGTTCGAGGCAGCTCAGCTGAATGCACGAGGCCAACACTGGCTTTCGACCAATCGCAATGCAGTGTTGATACGATCGTTATAAACACATCGATTTCACTCTCCAAATTTGCCAGTTGGAAGAGAAATTTTTTTCTCATCAGCAGGGGAAAAATAATTCAAGGGGTTTCGTCAGTGTCACTCATCAAAATAACATCGGGTTTGGGAGAAATTTGGAATTATCTGGAGAAAACCGAGGTCACCCGATGCTGCACGAGGCGGGAGTGTCCGCTGATTGGTCGGAGGAGGTCATGCGGCGAAATATCCGGGGTGTGATTGGCTGTGCCCCTTTAATAGGGAACCGGATGGACGAGAGACACAACGTAATCCCCCCCCTCCGGCTGCCCACGGCTGTTGGGCATCGTCACAAAGAGAAAAGCCACAGTGTTGGAAAGACCGTTCGTAGCCTGACACATCGGCACGAAATTAAAATAATCGATTATTTTCTGTGTATGGGTTTAGCAGGTCGGTAACTTGTGTACACTCGTTCGTTATCATTTTGGTACAGGAGAAGTTGAATTAGTTTCATCAATTTTTGGGTCAGAGCTGAGTTTTCTGGAGCCCATTACGACCATCGAAAGTGTCGGTGTGTGGTTGATTCTGTGCGTGCGTGCATTTAATTCCAAATATTGTACAAAATAAAATCGAGAGAGGAATAAATCGGTCATTTACGCGTTCGTCAAATTTCATTTCTGAAGATTTAATTGAGGAGAAGGTGGAAAGCGGAGCCGAGTGACCCCTGGGGTGTTTTTTTTATTTCTCTTGGAAATAAAAATACAAACAAGGCGACCCACGCGGCGGCCATCTTGTCTTGCTTCCAGCTGGGGTGCTTGCACAGAAGATTATTATTTGTTTGAAAACATTGGGAAAATAGTATCGGTAAACAAGGATTACGAGCATTTTGGAAAACGTGAGAAATTGATCAATCGGATGTGGCGATTTTCACGAACTACTCTGACACTCCGCGTTTGGATATTTCATTGGGATCCAGAAATTAGGACACGGTAGCATCGTTAACGATCAAACCTCTCTTTTTTATTCACATCTTTATTGACATTTTATATTGAAAAAATACAATATCCCCCCCCCCCACACACACTCGATTGGAATGTGTACGCTCGAAACTTTTGCCACTTCCGTGTGGTGTTTATTCGTGTGACGAAGATATATCTCTGCTGCGGAGCTCGGGCATTTTATTGCGCAGTTAGACAAAACGACACACATTGGAAACCGGAAGCTGGAGAATACGAGGACGCGCTGTTATTTTTATTTTTTGAGATTTGTTTTCTTTCATCATTGAATGAGAGTTTATCAACGTCTTGAGAGGCACACACGCTTGGACTCTGAAGGTAATTTGGCTTCGGGTTTCCTGGGGAAGAAATTATGTAAGCGGATGAGTTCAATTTTTTTTTAGAAACGGCAGGGAATTGTTTTTTAAGGGGGTCCGGTCGATTTGAGTGAATGCAGACGTAGTCCACTTTTTAAAAGTGGGCAAATTCCTTTCTGTTGTCTTTTAATCTGGACTTTTTTCTCTATCGAAATGCCGGGTTAGGAGTCAATGAAAAAAATCTGCTGTTACCGTCTGAGAAAAATAAATATCCCAGCAAACACTATGCCAACAATTTGTCGACAAATTGTCGACGTCCTGTTAAATTTTAGATGGCACTGGCAAAAATTCAGTAGCGAAGTGGTCAAACGGTTCAAGTCGATTTTGGATATTGACCAGTTTTCAATGAATATCTCGAAATCTAAGGGAGATAGCAAAATTTTTCTCATAACCTTTTTAGTAGCACTTAATTTGCTCTACAAAAAAGGTCATTATGAAAATTTCGCTATCTCCCTTAAATTCGGAGATATTTCTGGAAAACTCAACTGAAGACTAAACTGACTTAAACCGTTTGCCCACTTCGCTATTGAATGGTCTTCTGGGATTTGTTGAGTCCGCAAGTAATTATTAATCATTAAGATAACCGTCAGGCTGGATATTTTCTTTGATCAAAAATACTCATTTTATCTCTACGAATAGAAAACAGAATACCTAAATTTACCATTCACTAGCGAAGTGGTAAAACGGTTCAAGTCGATTTTGACTATTGGCCATTTTTTGTTGAATATCTCGGTATCTAAGAGAGATGGCTAAATTTCTGTCAATACCTTTTTTGTAGTGCTCAATGTGCTCTAGAAAAAAGGTCATTACAAAAATTGCGTTATCTCCTTCCGATTCGGAGATATTCTTCAAAAAGTCAACTAAGTGATAAGTCGACTTGAACCGTTTTACCACTTCACTACTGAATTCAACCGCACGACGAACATCAATTTCTGAAACAAGTGTTCTAAACACCTGTCTTACGGATAATTTCCAGAAGCTGATTAACACAGGTGAACGATAAGAAATAAAAAAATCAAATCATGACGAATTCAGCGCCGAAAATGAGTAACCGAGTGGAGAGGCAGGGCTCACCAAACACTGGTGGCAAGCGAAACCGTGGTGGTACAATAAAATCATCGAGTTACTTCAACAGTAGCTGTAAACAGGTAAAAAATTCACCTAACGGTCGACAAAGTTGTAGTCCACAATTTTCATCAAAAAATGGTGGCAACTCACCAATGAGACACGATAGTCCGCGTCATGGTAGTCCAACGAATGCATATTTTGCTGGTGCTAAATGGTCCGAGCCACCGTCCCCAGCTAGCCTACCAAAGCCACCGAGTCACTGGACAACGAGGCTCATGACAAGTTGTCAGGCCGAGGCATGTCACAACATTTCAAATCATCTGAAAATGATTCTCAACATCCAGGCTTGATTTCCGAGCGTCAATGCCGTCTGAAGGTAGATATTTTTCATAAAAAAAACAAAATACAAGCCAACAATGATTCTGGTGGGCAGGTTTTGGGATTTATTAATTAGCACCGTGAGCCTTCCATCAAATGGACTGCGGGCATTTTATTTTGTCCAAACTTGTGACTGAACATCAAATTATATACATATATGACACATGTATGTATATTTTCTTATTGTTCATGGAAGGAGAATGAATAATTGACAGTATAAAAATGCGATATTACGAGAAACAAGCTGTGAACTTTGAAAATCTCCCTAATGTTTTTCTTGTGCGCGAGAACATTGCTAATGTGCGGGGAACATTGAGTAAACTTGGTGAAGAATATCTTTGAAATGAAGTTCATATGGAAATGCTGGATTTGTAGGAAGATTGCAACCGGTGTTGAATCGAGCCTGGCGTTTAAATCGCGTTTCGATATGTCAAAACATTTATCGATTAATATTGTAATGCCGTGTACAAAGTTGTAAACATATGTATCTAGGATATTCTTATTATTAATTAACTGTAAAATGGAGTGCACTCATACACGATGGTACGAAGATAATCCACCGATATATAGGGAATTATTCATTATAAATTTGTGTTCGGAGATTCTGAAATTTCAATTTCAAATTATTGTCATGAAGTCGTTATCACAGTTTTTTTTCTTTTTTTTTCTTCTCAAATTGGTGATAGTATCCTGACGGTTTCGTATGATGGAAAATTTTTAAGGTTTTGTGTTGAGTAAAATGATTTTTTTCCGATCGGATGAACGCTCCATTTCGATTAAAAATACCAGTAAATTTTTAGTTTAATTGTAATTATTTCGTTTTATAAGTTAACTTTTACTCAATTGATTATTCGAGATGTTGAAAATTACTCTTGCGAATTGAAAAATTATCTGAAATTAGGGAAGAGCTTGGAGAGTACCCTGTGACGTAGATTAGAGATTTGAGGAGGGGAATGACATGAGTAGAGAGTCAACGCCGAGGACATGAAAATTTGTACTCAATAGGGCATTTTTTTTCGATCATAATTGACTGAACTCCACTGCGAGCTAGTTTTCCTTCAAACACTTATGCCATTTATTTCCGAATACTCGAGTTGAAATTGAAAATCAATTGCACAAAGTTGGCGAAATTATGTGCCAGGAAGGGCTTGACTATAATGTGATCTCCGACGACTTAACGTCTCTATATTCTTATTTTTCTTTCTAAGTACCAAGTCAGGTTAGTGGTAATGCCAACGAGTAAGGAGAATCTTATCTTCTTTGCTATACGTATTGTTTACTTTCGATTCGATTGGTCATACGTAATCTTACTAGTTTAATGTCGTCAGAAGAGAAACCGGAATTCTGCATTACTAACAAAAACGATATTTTGCGTTCGCCTTTATGTACACAAAATTTTCGATGACTTATCAATTAAATACTCAGTTTTAATTTCAATACTTCACTCGATATTAGCGATTATTTTTTTCAGCTTCATCCGTTTTGTTTCGTTCAGTTCAAAAAAACGGAATTTTTTTTCACTTTCGTTCGGAGAATTCATGCAGAGTTGACGTCATATCATATTAAATTGAATCAGAATAAAAAAGAATGAGCTCGTGTTCAGGCAAACTATAACTATTCATTATCATTGGGTTCAATAATCTTTCAGTTCACAATTAAAACGAAAATCTGTTATAGAACAGAGAGCAATGATTGGGATTTACACTCGTAATGATTGATAATTACACATTTGAAGAGCTTTGAACTGAATAGTTGCAATTTAAAAAATGAGAAATCTTTAGTCCGAGAAAGACTGATTGTGCTAAGACGTTTGTGTAATTGTTGTTGCCGCGTATTATTAGCGATAAAGTAATTATCATGACGAATTTATTATCGCCGCTGGCTCGGCGGCGTAGGGGCGAAAAGCAGCGAAAGTTTAATGAAAACGTAATCGGTGATTTAACAGTTAAAGTAAATAATTTGGAAAAATCAATGTGTTCCGAGGGTATGTGTGAGTTTCTTTCAGCACTTATTCTTGTTTCTTCAAGTGAACCAAATTTAACACGAGCGTAAGATGGAACAAAAGAAACAAGAAATGAAGAAAAGAAACCGGTGCACATGCATGGATGAATACATGGTAAATGTGTAAATAATTCGACGTAAATTGTAATATTAACTCCTAATGAATATTTTGTATATAAATTTATACAATGTGTAAATTACGAGGGAAGAAATAATTGTAAATGAGTTTAGTGCTCACGAAACTGACAATTGAATCCGCAATATCAGAAGATAACGCGATTAATATCAAATGCGTAAAACGTAATCGTGTGCACAAACAAGCAAAACGTCTTTGCAATGATGGAATTGTTCGATACTATGAAGAAGTGAAAATACAGATTTTGACATTGATGGGATTGAAGTCAACAGACAGCACGATAAATATGATGGATTAATGACCGAGTGGACCACTTGGGTCAATCGAATTTTTTCAATGAGATAATAAGGAATTTAAATTAGCTGTGATGAAATGATTATAGGTACTACTAATTTTAATTGATATCAATCGGATATTAATATGCGTACTGTCCCTCCTTCAACTGAATATTATCTGTGTATATGATTATTTGACAAAAATTAAACGAACGGCATAGGGAAGCTTAAAGAACCATAAGTCGAGTAATTAGGTGTATTTGTATAGGACGATAATTTTAATGTTAAGTCAGGTATTTACTGGTTTAAAAAAGGGAGAAATTTTGGATCATCAGGCGTTTAATTTTTACGTGAACATGGCTTTTTTTTTCTTTTGGAAATTTGTTGTTTTATCCTTGTCCGAATCAAGTCCGTGAAAAATCGAAATAGAAAGAACCGAAAGACCCAAAAGATGACACGAAATCTGTAATGGAATGGTGTATTGTATAGTAAATCTCTCTTTTTCGTGATGAGACGTTAAAATGTGATATTCCATCGTACAATTTCTCTTTTTTTCCTATTTTATGAACGTTGACACATAGCATGTTATTATTATTTTTTTTTTTAAGAAAAGCCATTTCTCGGCGGCGGAAATTGATTTTTAAAAGTATTCGGAGAGAAATAGCGTAAATGCGAAATTTGTTAGGAAACGAAAATCATGTCATTTCTCTGCTTTTCAATTTTATCATCAATTTTCTAGACGAAAACTGATATTCATTGAACGATATAGGGTTCTCTTCCTGTTATTAATTTTAAAAGAAGAAACATTATTTTCATTACTTGAACTAAAATTATTATCTAACAAGAACGATCAATTAGTGTAACAAAATTACCGATTACCAAAACTCGTGTATGAGTGATATAAATTTGCATCGCGATTATGGAAAATTATAAAAATGAGTCGGAATATTCCGACAGACAAGGCATGATAAGACAAAATAAAACATCTAAGGGTGCACTTTGAATGGTCAAACGCAACTGCAATTATCGAGAATAAATCTGAAAAAACAAAATTGTAAATGAAGTTAACGTCAAGATTAATGACAATACAAAGTGACCTCGATAGACGTTTGGACAATGCCCAATCATGTAGTCACACAACAGAAAACAAGGTACAAGTAAAATCTTGAATTATGCAGTCACGAACAAACTCACTGAATCATACACATAAACAAAGAAACACGATGCGATAGATGATTCGTCATTCGAGTAAGCCTTAAAGTTAGGAATTAAGGTACAGATGCGATATGAGAGGGAAGACTTGCATTATGTGAGCGAATTTCAATTATCGGACGAATTCAGAGGCCCAGAGAAAATCATTTTATTATCATTTAATTCAAGTTTTGTTACTCTTTGACACTCATAATAGAAGAATAAATACTTTCAACTGCTGTATTTTTAATATAATTAATGAAAATTGTAGTTGTGATTGTACGTTAAAAAATCAAAATTACTACTTAAATCGTTGAAATTTGTGACACATCATTTTAATTGCAAGTCCGATTAACTTGTTCAAAGTGAGTTTAAAAGTATTAAACATAGATTGAAGACTCAATTATGAGTTATTAAAGAGAGCTTCCCTCTCGAAGATCGGTGCGTTTTCCTGGTCTTTCAAGCAAGTGAAGATGAAAAAATAAAAACAATAAACGATGCAAATAAAATGCAAATGTCCAGTAAAATGCCGAATTCGAGTAAATAAATGATGAAGAAAATTGAATGATCTTGTGAGAGACGCACGGTTCTTCGTGGCCCTTGGTAAGGCACGTGCAAGTGCAAACATTTAAGCAATGAAATAAAAAATCCAATTTTCTCATTAATCCGAAACCACTGTTGTGCTCTTGCACGTGCGTAGCCAACGATTCACGACATAAAAATGAACAAAACAAAGAAAAAAAAGTTTGCGATATATTAAATAGTCTATGCCTTCAATTTTGTTATACTTTAAGAGGAGAAAATCCGTGAATATTGAGTTATCAGAGGGGCATTCAGTCTTTCACTGCTTCTACCAAAGTACATTGTCACGTGTCCCTCTGATAGTTGAATTTTCCCAATCTATTCGACGTCCGAGATTGGGTATGTTTTATTTTTTGAGTTCTGTGCCCAATGCACAAAAAAAATGAAACACATCGTTGAATTCAAAATGATTAAACAATGGAGATATAATACACTCTGAATGAGTCAATGATAAATATGCATTACTATCATAATGAGGATAGAGGAGGGAGAAAAATGGAGAAGTTTTTAGACTTAAATCCTAAACCGAAAATTCGTCAATCTGCCCGGTTAAATCGAGTTTACTGTGATTTTAAATTCTAATTGCGTGACATTCCTTGTACACGTTAACGAGTAATAATGAGAGCAACGACGTTGTACGCAAGGAAAGTTATGAGGGAAATGTAAAATTTTATTAGATTTAATTGACGAGTTTTCTATAGGAGGTAAAAGTACATTTTTCAATGGTACAATCGACCAATGTTTTTTCTTTTTTTTTTTTCAATAGAAGATACGCATCGAGAAACTGTTTTGTTAGGACGTGGGCTAGAAGACTGATCAAAATTTATAATAAATCATCAAAGGAATCAATTGCAAGTGTGTTAACTAGGCCACGTCATTGCAGAGTAACGCGTTCTCTGAGAATTTCCACTCGTATAATTTAAATTTTTTTAAAAATCGAAGTTTTTGAAAAACGAAGGGGAAGGGTAGTGTATAAGTGACCAATTCGAGAAATGAACATTTGTAAAGATAATATGAACAAACTTGGTCGAGAAATGAGAAGAGTTGCGCGGTATGTGCGTGAAATATGTGAGAGATGAACCTGCGAGAAGAGGATAAAGTGTCGCTTCAGGATTACAAGAGGACAGAGGCGAACGGAATATTGAATGCCGAGTGAAACGATACATCAAATCAGGATCTGCATGCAGTAATATACCGAAAACGATACAGATAATTCATGTAGATCGTTTTTTAAATATGGAGAGATATTCCTCGAGGAAGAGAAGTGGAGCTCGCAGAATCAAGGGGTGGAACCATTCAAGATAATGCGATATGGATTGGAGCAGGTGAATCGTAGAATTGCTGATATATATAAAATGCGTTTTGCGACACCTGAGCGGGGGCGAGAAGAAAGGGGCGAAGCTGCGAATTAAAGAAAAAAAAATGTTGCAATATATTTTGCAGAAAAAAAATGTGAAAAAATATTAATGCGCAGTTCGTGATGTAGAAAATGAGGATGTAGGAGGGAAAATTAGAGGGTGATGATGGAGGGAACATTTTTTGAAGCTTTGTTACTGATTTGGGGAGATGGCTAAGACATCTTGAGCCTCATGATCACAATTAAGGATAACCAGAGAACGCTCTTCACGAGATCCAGCGAGTTTTATGATCTTTCGGCTGAAATTGAATTTTTCATCAACCGTCCTTTATCATCTTAAGCAGAGAGTGATCGTACGATCACAATTTTAATTCATACTGATAACTACAATTCGAGCCAAAATATACGAATTTTCTTTTCTATTGATTCATCAAATACAATAGCAGATGAGAGTGTCTACTTAAGATATCACACAACGCATATTCCATTGACTGCAGTAATCATTATTATTGTCTGACTGCAATATTTGAAAGGCTCGAATTAAAAAAAAAAAATTTCAGTTTCCCCAATTTTTTTGGAAATCATTTTTTTTTTCAAAATTATTACACTCTCATCTTAGTATAATTGGCAAACAGTTTTTAGGGCCCTTTTCAGGGCCCGCAAATGTATTCCAATGTGGTATACTCAAATTTCGCTCAAAAGACAAAAAAAATCTGCCCTTTTTAGGGCAAAAAGGAAAACGTAATAGTAAAAAACGTTCTTTTAAGAACGAATATAGAAAACTGTCCTTGTCAGGACAATCATCGGCAGCAGTTTGGAGTAAAGACTGGGGGAAGAGCGACCTTGGGGGCTGGAGGCCATCACTTGGGAAAATACGCAGCCTATAGGAGCCAGAGAATATTCAGCACACGACGACATTCAATGGGTCAATGACATCACTGAAGCAGGATTAACAGATGAGTATCAGTTACTACGTAGTTTCACAGATGTTTGCTCTCAAGGTGACTCGATGGGTTTTACAATTCAGTTCAAAAGAGGTAAATCAGTTTGGCTTTCGCTCCTAGTTGAATTCAATAGCGAAGCAGTAAGTCGATTTTGACTTTTGGCCAGTTTTTCATGAATATCTCGGAATCTAAGATTCCTGGGGAATTGGAATAATCCATTGAACTTCCACATTTATATTTATTCTTAATTGAAGCTGGAAACAAGAGTCTTTACAGGTTTACAGAATTATGTCTGCTTCAGTAGTTCAATTGAAACAATGTAGGCACCAAAATACATTCAATGGAACAGGAACAGGGTCCAATGATTAACGAACCGTAAATAATCTACTCATTTCTCTTTTGTTCAAATTTCCAGTTATTGTACCAAATTAACTACAATACTGGTTATATAACCAAATTTCTGAAAGGAATGGGTACAGAAATATTTAGGGATTTTCGCTGTTCCGTTATCTTCACGGATTTGAGAGATTTCGTGGCCGACTTTCACTGAACGGGAATGTAAGTAATAAATGGCGATATCGGTGACGGTATTCAACCGAATTTGAGTGATTTGAGTCTTCAATAATTTAACTTTCATTATGAAACTGCTTGCTTTGGAATTTTCCACACTTCCAGATTTCCATGGGTGTCTGCAAGAGCAGCAGTATCTCTGAAAACAGAAGGATGCCAGAACATCAAATTTCAAGTTACATATTAGGACGCAAAACTAATTCATTTCTTCATGAAGGATGACATCATTTCAGGCCAATCGACTGGAAAATTTGAGACTTTCAAATTCGAAGTCAACAATTTTTTTTAAATTTTCAACTAACGATTTTGTTGGCCCAAATTAAACTTGTTTGAGAACTCGTTCTCAACCAAGCAAAATATAATTTGAACGACGCTGAATATTCATGATTTTTTTAAAAATTTTCTCACGCAATTTAATTGACAAATTTGATAATTGTCTGTACCAAACTGCAAAAGACCCTTGAATATCCTTAAGCACTGATGCTATTATCAGAAATGTATCATTTAGTATGATTACCTTTTTTTGTTAAAATCAAGGGCAGCAATATTTCCACATGTAGACAGCATTTTTAAATTTGTAACAGCTGTCCCATTACGAATATCATAAAAATTAACCGAAGAATTCGCTCCATAGGCGGAGATTACGTCTTTCCCCCATGGAAACCATTTTAGTCCAATGACTGTATGTTCCACTGCAATTACTCGAACGATGGAACTCTGCAAGGTCAATTGCCGTGAATAGAAATTAAGGTTCGGATGGATTATCTTTCGAACGTCATCTCGATTGTTATTCTATCTTCATAATATAAAATGTATCACAATTTCCATTGGATTTTGCATCACGTAGGAGTCCCTAAAAATTATGATTGTACAATAAAAAAAAAGTAGAAAAAAAACTGAACACTTTCAAAGAGCGTTTTTAATAAAGATTAAGAAATAAGTCCGATAGACAGGAAATAGTGAGTGGATAATTTATCATGGTAACTAACGAACTGACAGCCATTAGATACATCAAATTATTAATTTGCAATTTCCTCCCTATTGGGTTTATTTCCCAATTTTTTTCAACGTTCTATTGATTGTAGAATCATAATTTTTGGCGACTCCAGGGCTACGTAAAACTGAATAGCAATTGGAGATTATTTCCAATTATTACAATAAAAAAAATTAAGATCACGTTCGAAAGGTAATCCACCCGGGCCTTAAATATATCAATGGGGATTTAAATAGGCCGTGACTACTCGCACCATTGCGTGAATCACTCCCGTACACTCCATACACTCCACGCATGCGTGAAGTTTGTGTGTTTCACGCAGCCGAATTTTCATACTGCTGTATATTTCCCGCAGTTGAAGTTTCATACTACTGTGTGTTTCACGCAGTTGAAGTTTCATACTCCTGTGTGTTTCACGCAGTTGAAGTTTTATACACCTGTGTGTTTCACGCAGTTGTATTTTTATACACCTGTGGGTTTCACACAGTTGCATAAAAATACAACTGCGTGAAACACACAGTAGTATAAAACTTCAACTGCGTGAAACACCCGCTCGGGTTTTCAATTCAAAACCCGAGTTCTTCAACAAAAGGCCCGAGTTGTAGGCCCGAGTTTGTAGCAGCGATGTCAGATAAGATATGAATGTTTTTTTGGGCTCAAATGAAAGAGCGGCTCGAGAAATGGCGTGCTAGGGTCTCTAAACATGACACATGTCTCTGAAGATGATGTCTGTTTTCAATTGAAAAGCAGAGTTGTGACATTGTCTAGGAGGACAATGGGGTCTAGGAGTATGTATAGATCATTGGCGTCTAGGAGTCTCCCCTGGTTCCAACCCATCTTTAGAGGTCCTAGCACACCATTTTTCGACCCGCTCTTTCGTTTGAGCCCAAAAAAACATTCATATCTTGTCTGACAT